GAAAAATCTCTTGATGACACAAAGTACACATCTCAGTGTTACAAGTACAAAGAGTTATTGCTCATTTTTCGAGTTTCGCAGCACAGTAGCTAGCAGCTTTTGACTTTATACTACTCTACGTGACTGAGTCCAAGTACGGAGACTGTTACTTTGTGCCGTTTGCAAAAGTGCATCCGGCAGCTACACAGCGACGGTGTTCTGAAAGAAAACGAGCAGAGATGATTCTACAAACTGAAAGCGAACGAACGAATGAAGCCGTTGAGAAAATGTACCGGGTTCCAGGTTCCATTGAACCCGCCAGAGTTTCCTCTCTTCTGTGTCAAAGCCTTCTTTCGGTCTCAGTAAAAGTACTTCAAGTTTCTGGTTCATGCACATAACACTTCCAGGGGAACCGTCGACCTCCCATCTGGCATCTAGCACCTAGCTCAACTATCGGAGCGTTTGCTTCAAGTGATACTTACCGTTCCCGCCGAGTATTCATCCCATTCCTCACCGAGGATGCGGGTTCCGGATCCAGCCGTCGAGAAAAAAGTAAACAATTTTCCCGGGAAACTCGGTTGCCATTTCGATTCTTTTCTTATCACCCTATTGATGCATTTTTTCTTATTTCACTCGAATCTATTTGATATTTTCCTTGGCTTCTTCTATTCTTCCGTCTAGAGATTCGGGATTTCGGATTTACTTATACATAAATCTGATACTTTATTTACAATACGGAGTATAGTAATCAGATAATCCACTTTTTTGCATTTGATAAATCTTTAAATTTCAACGTGAGAATTATTGCTTATACATAAGTGCACTTAGAGATAAATTTCAAAGAAGAATACAATTTTAAAGAAAATAATTATTAATTATTTTAATTAATAGATCTGAAAAGAAGATCAAGAAAAAAAAATAGTTTTTTAACTCAATGTTTTTATTAGTTCAAAAAAATCATTTTTTTCACTGAAAAATAATTAAATTTATTCAAAAGAAAAAATTTTAGCCAAAAAAATTGTTTTATTTTCTTAAATCAAGACACAAAATTTTTGAATCAAATAAATTTACTCAAATTAAGAAAAATTTATCAGATAAAAATTTTTTTTTACTTAAATCAAAATGATAAAGCTCTTCAAAATTATTTTCTTGGTTCATAAATTTTATTTTCTTGAATTAAGTTGATTTTTTTTCATATTTAAAACGGTATTCCTGATTTAAGATTTTTTTCTCTTTAATCACATAAACTTTTTTGTGCATTTTTTTAAAATTAATTTTAATTAATTTAGAAAAATTATTGATCTAATTTCAATATTGAAAATAAAATTACTTGATTAAAGATAAAATTACTCTTGATCACTTAAAAAAAAAAAAAAGAATAAATTACAATTTATATGAAAAAAAAATGAAACTTTTCTTCAAACTAAATCTGAACCCACAGTCTTTATTTATTTTTAATTTTTTTAAGAGAAGAACTCTCATTTCTAAATTTAATTTTTAAATAACTGTCAAAGTTGTAGTTTTGACAGATTTATTTTCAATTCGCTCTGTATAAGTCATATTTAAGGTAGTTGTAGCGTGAAAGGCATTTCAACAGAAAGTTATGAAATTTTTTTTTATCGAAAGATAAATATATTAATAATTCAGTACCAAAATTTCAGATCAATTGACCGCACCCGAGTGGCCCACTCGAGTGGTACGGAAGATTTCATACTAACTTTACCATCTCTCTATACCTCTACGTGTAAAAGATGCGATTTCGAAAATTAATTACTCGAAAACAGTGCGGTCAATTGATCTGAAATTTTGGTAGTGAATTATTAATATATTTATCTTTCGATAAAAAAAAATTTCATAACTTTCTGTTGAAATGCCTATCACGCAACAACTACCTTAA